TGGAACCGTCGAAAGCTGAGTAAATGGGATTACAGCTGGCCGCTGTATTACACGAATCGCCAAGGTAGCAATAGCTTTAACATCGGTATTACTGAAAAGACTGGTGAAAACCTATTTGAAAAAGCACATTGCGATTTTGCTAAAAGCAGAGAAAATTATTTTGCAATGGTATGACAGACCATGGCAACGGACAAGCCAAAGCCTAAAACCGAAACATCGCCATTACCGGTTTAGTATTACTGAATGCACGTTTATTGAAGCTTTTGAAGCTGATTACGATGATTGCAAAATTATTCACCAATCTGTAAGATACTGTTCAATAAACTACCCCCCTTCATTTTCCCCTGTCTCGTTCTCATCTCCTTTGCTGTTTTGAGGCACGATGGTGCCACAACAAGAGGTCAGCCTCCAACTTTAGACGTGTACTTAATTCGAATCCCAAAATAATGTCTTAACCGCAAATTCCCTTAAGAAAGGAATGTAGCCCACTTTGCGTCGGTACAACAAGTCAAGCTCGCTGCCTTGTGAACACCAGAGTCAGCCTGATGTTCAGGAGGGGTCATATTAAAATGAGTAAAATGTATGACAACGCTATTTGATGCAAGCGCATATTAGGGCTGCAATTCGCTTTGATTTACATGACAGCTGACTATCCAGTGCTAATATCAGTGCAAAGTGCAACCGCTGTATTTGTGCCATGGAACTGTCTTCCTCCTTAGGCTTTTCATGTACTTTGTATATACTATTTCCTATATTATACCAGTTGGTTATTGCTCGCACCCTGTAAAAGAAACATTGTTTTAAAATTCTGAAAGTTGTATGTAATTGAACTACCAGTCGGCAATAACTTTTGGTCTTCATATGAGTTTCAGACCATTAGTTGGACATATCTCGTAACTCGTAACTCATAACTCGTAACTATCTCGTACCTATGTAGATCTCGTACATAAACGCTAACATAATTAAGAAAATGGTATTAATTATATCATTACTCAAACCTTGCTGCTCAACTGTCACACATTCTTTGAAGCAGAATTAACTCGAAGGATTCGATGAAGAGCTGGTTGGACAAATTCTATTTCCGGTGCAAACGGCACAACTGAAACAGCATAGTAATTCTTATACAGTCGAATAATAATGGTGCCCTAATTCGAATATAGTTGATTTTCAAAGCGAGCACATATTTGTAACCTGAAGACAAAAGATAAGAGCTGGTGCGCTAAGTATCAATGGTAAACGGTCCCAATATTGGTGCACTGAGGAGGATCAGACAAGACGGTTACCCTTAAGGAAGAATTGGCTAATGGGCTCGTCACATTGTGACGTATGTCACAGTGTCAGGCTAGTCGATGCTTTGCCGAAACAAGTGCAGTCTATGAGGGTGCATGAGTGCGTAACTCGCCCGACCTGAGGCAATGTCGAGTGGTGAGAGTGACGGAACTGTGCAGTCCTCGGCGTGGTTTGGTGCTGTGCAGTCTTGCATACATGGCTGCAACCAAGGCGACGTCGGTTCCAGGAGTAACCGTCCCTCGTTTCATGGCAGTAGCTTCCGACATGGCTCGCTCGCTCGGTTGGCACCAGCAACGGCAGTAGTAGCCGAAGAACGGAAATATCATTAGTATTATTAAAACGCCGCCGGCTGGGTAAGTGAGCCATTTTAATTTTACGAATGATAAAACACTATCAATGGACTTAACGGTGACAGACGTTGCGGAAGCTAGCGCTGTCAAAACATCGATTAATTTCGCCACATAAATAAGTAACGCAAAATTTCATTCCTCGATTTTGCGACGATATCGGCGCGGCGGTCGTGGCCTCAAATCGACATCCGGCAAAGCATTGCGAGTGTCGGCGGACAACAATTGGGGATGACGTGCCACACGTTAGTTAGCGAAAGCCTGCTCAGCCGCTTGGCTGGCCGCCTGACCCACGCCGGACAAATGAGTCGGCTTCGTCAAAGAGGTAACGTTGAGTCAAGTTAGTTACAAGTTGACCACAGGCGACGTCAGCGCGAGCTTCGGCATCGGTTGCCCGTGGTGGCATCACTGCCAAACTTCGCGGCTGCGCTTCGACAACTTCGGCGCGAGCGATCGTTCAAAGCGAGTTCAAAGCTGCCGCGTGTCGATGCATTTGTTTGAGTACCGAGTGACAAGCGGCAAACAGCAGTCAGAATATTACGTAAAAGGCGAGCGACCCCAACGACTCACGGCGCCTTCATTGCTAGACAGATCCGTCGAAGCCGAGGTGTCGGGAAACGGTCACAATGCAGAGCAGAGTCGCCGCCTTCATCCTCAACAAATAGCCAGTATTGCAATGTAGAAAATCGAACAGGCAGCATCTTCCTGCTCCCGCCTAAAATGAAGACGACGAGAGATTGCTATTAGAGGCACCAACAATCAGCACCACTCTGGCCGATGTTTGTAAGTGAGTGCATTCTGAAAACGACCT